GATGGACAGACCTCCAGGGTCATCTCCTTGAGGTCCCAGGTGATAAGAGGCAGCAGGAGATGAAACTTCTTGAAGCAGCAGTTCCCCAGGGTTAAGGCCATGGTGGAAAGGGGAAGGGCTTGTCCAAGGACACATACGTGTGCATGCGCACGCACACACACACTCACGGAGGCCCTGCCCGAAGCCTCAGGCAGAGAAATGCGGAGACAGAGGGTGAAATCACTCACTTAGTCACACATTCGGGACAAGACTCCACTCCCGTGATGTCACAGGGCAGGGAGGGCACACAGCCAGCACCCTCTTTTTCATTAGCATCACAGCCCATGCTCTGTGCATCAGTGTTGGTGACATCTGACCAAGCCCATGACTCAATTTTAAAAATCACAGTAGTTTTCAGTTCACAGAACACTCTTCTGCTGTTATCTACACATTTAGTCTTCACAACAGCCTTACAAGGCAGGCAGGGGGTTATCACCAAACCCATTTCAAAGATGGGGAACCCAAGACCCCAACTGAGCGGGATCCTCACAGTGCCAACATCAGACAGGCATCGCCTAAAACCCGTCTGGCACGTTGGACTGTGGACAGCTGCGTGCCTGTCCGCTGTATCTCTCTCTGCTTCTGCGCCCAGCACACTCTGCCTGAGCTAGGTCCCAGCCAGGGCTTCCATCCGTTTCCGGTTGGAACCTCTGCTAAGAATTCCCATGTCTAACAGGTTCCGACGCGATGCTAATGCTGCTGGTTAGGGACCAATTCTGAGAACCATTAGTAGAGCTGTAGTTCTCAAAGTTTATTATACACAAGAATCACCTGGGGATCTTGTTAAACTGTCGATTCTGTTTCAGTATATCTGGGGTGAAAATGCAAATTATCAGCAGGGGTTCAAACCACAACGGTTCAAACCGCTGGTCCCAACACAATTCCCTGGCCTGTGTGGACTACTTGCTGAGTTACTGAGTCCTTTGTAGAGTAAGCTAAGCCTCCGCTGAGCTTTACGCGGCTGGGATATTTTGAAAGACAAGCCCTGAAGATCGTGTATGTGGCCGCCTCTTCCTGGAATCACAGGTCCCCCTTTCTAGCCCAAACCCAAGTCTCCAAACCTGCAGAGCCCAGTGGCCCCAGGGCAGCTCTGCAAGTCCCCATTCTCTGGCCATCCACCCCCACCTCCTCTGGGTCAGCCTCACCTGAAGGTTTGCATCTTGTACGGTCTTCGTTGAGTGGGGCCGCAGGCAGCCTCTGAATGGAACAGGAGAAGGATTAGAGAGATTAGGTAGCTGAGGGGACACTTTAAGATTTCCATCCTGTGACCACGGCAAGGCAAAGGAGACTGCCATGTCGACCCCAGAGGAGCTGCTTATAAAGAAGGTGCCTGCTCACCCAAACCGGGATGCTGCCGCCCTGTCCTGCTCTGAGAAACGGAAATGTCCATTTACAAAAATAGAAACCCTCACTGTTGTCACTTTCAACCCTGTGTCGCAACAGCAGTGTCGTAACTCATTCCGTCCCTTTCCCCCGGAGCAATTTCCCCCAAATTGAGATTTCTATTTCCCCATCACTGAGTTCCTGGGAGAAGAGTGCAATGAACACCAAGCACCTCTCCCCCACTCAGCTGGTGGACAGGTACCCTGAGATAGTTGGTTAATAAAAAAAAAAGAAATTTGGGCAGAAATGTCCCCCTTTCGTAGTTAAGTCATATAATAGGGCTCCGCAGCCCATGAAACACTCTCGTGTCACTTTGTGTTCTTTGAAGGGATGTGGCCTTGTCGGACTGTAGAGCAGGGACTGGTAAACTCTCTGTGAAGGACCAGGTAGTAATATTTTAGGATCTGCAGGCCAGGAAGTCTCTGCCATGATTACTCAGCTCAGCTGTTGTAGTGTGAAAGCAGCCGTGGACCATATGGAACCACACGAATCTGCCTGAGCTCCAATATGACTTAAGTTACAAAATCAGGTGGTGGCTGGAGCTGGCCTGCGGGCCATAGTTTGCCCACCTTCTCTAGGGTAAATTGTGCCTTCCTGAGAGGTGCTTGGAAACCAACTCAGTACCCCACATCTTTACAGTTATAGTCTCAGGAAAATGGGGTGAACCCAGCACTTAAACATTATGGATCCAAACTCCATGTCTGCCACTTGTCATTTGCCACCCGTGTGACCTTGAATAAGTGTCTTCACCTATTTGGGCCTCAGACTCCTCATCTATAGATGAGGATGATCATGTCTTCCTTGCAAGTGGAAGGAAGGAAGGAAAAAAGAAAGGAAGGGAGGGAGGAGAAAGTTCCTGGTCCATAGTGGGCACCAATAAACATTAACTTCCTTCCTTACAGCATTCTAGACAGTTAGGAAAAAGGTGAGTATACTCCTATTCTATGGATAGAAAAGAGTTGAAGAGGGTGTCTTCAAGATGCGTAATGCTTGTGCAGAAGGATAGATGATACCATTTTAGAACTAAATGGGAGCTTAGTGATCTTCTGATCCCACGCCATCGGCGTTTTACAGAAGACCCAGAGAGATCTGGAAAGGGGAAGGAACTTGACCAAGGTCACGTAGCTCATTAACAGCAAAGGTATGTTCAGAATTTCAGGTCTTCTGACTCCCAACCCAGACCCTCCTTTCTACAGCAGTCATGTGCCCAAATGAGGGTTAAGTCCTTCAAAGGAGGAAGGTTGCAGATGAATATCACAGATTTTATAGAGCTCTTCTTTCAGCGCAGGTGGAACATTCCTTCCAACGTCCTATCACCTCCCTTGAGACTGCTTTGAAGGTTAACAGGCCATGTAGGTGTCCCTGCTCTGTTCTTACGAGCTATGTGAATTTGAGGGCATCATTCACTTTCTTTGGAACACCTGAGAGAAATAATAACTACCGTTCATGGCCAGGGGGCATTTTGCTTGTTCATTTGCTTGTTTGCTTTTGTGGGGGCTAGCTGAAAAAGAAGGGAATTCCTGGGTAGTGCAAATGGTTAAGTGTTTTAACCAAAAGGGTGGAAGTTCAAGTCGACCCAGAGGCACCTTGGAAGAAAGGCCTGGTGATCTACTTCTGAAAAACCAGCCATTGAAAAGTCTATGGAGCACAATTCTACTCTGACACACATGGGGTCACCATGAGTCAGAGTGGACTCGATGGCAGCTAGTTTGGTTTTATTTTTATTTGGCTGAAAGAGGCAACGTGTCTGGTTATTTGCCACATTCAGTAGTAGTTGAATATGCTTTTATCGTTTCTGGAACATTTATTAATCATTTGGTACATAACTTTGTCATCACACCTTTGAGAAAGGAAGGCAGCTAGAACCCAACTGCGGTAAGTTATCTCCTGCTTGTCTTTCTTATGCTACTTCTAAAGACCTCCTTAGTTTTAAAACCAGCATTCTCTCAAAAAAATGACCTTAAAGGTTTATGAAGAGAAATGACTTGGCAAAGTGAGACTGAGGGGCTTCATCCTTGGTAGAAGCAGGGGTGGATTACCCAATAAGCAAGGTAAGCACAACCTTACCTGTGCATACTTGCTAATCTGTAGTGAACAATTTCACTGTTTTTCACATCAAAGATGTGGTGAAACCTATGTGAAATTGTTCACTACAGATTAGTAAGTAAACCTAATTAAGCCTGTGTGTACCTTGCTTGCTGATTAATCCACCCCGGATACAAGGTGCCAAGTAAAGACCCCATCCACATTGCAGTTCATGAGTCGATGTCTCTCTGCCCCAACCCAAACTCGAAGAGTTAGACTTCTCCTGGAGAAAGATGCCCTGGGCTCCTGGCCTTTCCCAGGTCTATGCCCTTTGTCACTGTGCCCTCGTGGAGTGGCCCAGTATGGCCTTCCTGGGTTTGGGGAGAGAAAGTCCCAGGTGCAGCATAGGACAGGACATCTTGACCCCAGGCTATGAAGTCAGGCTGACCTGGGTTTGAATCTCTTGTCATTTACAACCTGGGCCACGTCAGGCAATGTGCTGAACAATTCTTGGTCTCAGTTTCATTATTTGTAAAATGAGGCTAATAGTAGAAGCACGTCACGGGTTGCTATGAGGATTAAATGAGATATTGCACATGACGCACTTTGCCCTGACGCTGGCACATAGGAAATACTCAAAGGATAGCTATTGTGTATGCTTCTCTACTCCAGGTAAAGTGGGTGAGATAGGTCACAAATGCCCCTAACCTTTCCACCTTTCCCTGCATTCCTGTGGCAAGCCTGGCTTGACTTCAAATGAGGTAAGCCCTCCCTCCAGGGGCTGGGGGTAGTAAGAGGGGAGGAGGGGACACTCCCTGTCCTCGGGCTTCTGCCTGCAATTCCAACCTTGGTTCCCTCTTATCTAAGCACGATTGTTGGTGTCCCTCTGAGTAATCTTACTCTTGGTTCTGGGGACTCAGCTCCTAACTCCACTTCCTGAAATAATAAATTTAATTACCACAACACATAGTGAGTGGGCTCTACCTTCCAATCAGCGTGTTATAATTTCCCTCTGTGAGCTTTCAGCCATCACAGTTGTATCCAGTGCTTTCCGTATGGTGAACATTGGGCTACCAGAAGGAGTCCCTGGGTGGCAAAATGGCTAAAAGCTGGGCTACTAACCAAAAGGTTGGCAGCTCAAATCCACTCAGAGTCACCTTGGAAGAAAGGCCCGGAGATCTGCTTTCAAAAGGTCAGCCTTGAAAACTCGATAGAGTACAGTTCTACTCTGCACACATGGGGTTGTCACGCATCGGAATAGACTCAAAGGCAACTGGTTTAGAGCTACTAGACACTGGTCATAACAAAAAGGGTGTGGATCAGGCAGGAAATAGAAAAACCAGTCTAAGTCAATGTCAGAAGAGTTATAATACACCCTTATCAGGAGACAGCATGGTCTAGAGAAAAATCTTGCCATGCCACCACAGCCTGAATCTGTGGCATCAAAGCTCCCCGAGTCTCCTTTGTAAAGGGGATGAGATGCACACTCCACACATGTGAGCTTCCATTGAGTTCTTGCCTTTTAAGTGTTAAGCTCAGAGCCAGCCTTATAGGAAGTGTTCAATAAAAGTTAGCTATTTCTCCATTTCAGTTAATTGCATCTTTCAGTTCTAGGATTTCCATTTGGTTCCCCCTTCTTTTTTGTTTTGTATAGTGTCTAGTTCTCTCTTTGCCAAACGTTCAACCTTGTCTTTTAATTCCTTGAACATACATACAGTTCTTGTAAAGGCTGCATCTGATAACTCCATTATTTGAATCCCAGCTGGGTCTCCTGCTACTGTCTGTTTTTCTTGAGTTGCAGTTTGTCTTGCTTATGCGTTATTTTACATTGACTGCTGGTCACTGTATCTCAAAAGATGTAGCGCTTCTTTGAGGCTCTGCATGATGTTGTCTTCATCTAGAGATGATTCAGTTTTGCTTCTGCCAGGCAGCTGGGCCAGGAGCACTGCAGCTGCGGGTGACTTTCATCCAAACGGGGCTGGAGGCGATTCAGTTGGGCTTCACTTCCTGTGCAGGCAGCTCGATTTCTGGTTCTCTCCTTCCCCTCCAAGGTACCAGCCAAAGCCTGGGGTGTTGATCAGGGACATATTTTATTTCCCCTCCCCTATCAGCCCCAAGAGTCTGTCAAAAGCTGGGCTGCAGCCTTTGAAATCAGCAATTGCTCCAGGATAAAAGGTCCCTATGCTGGGCTCCACCACTGTTCTCATAGCCTTGGTCATTGTCGATGTCTTCAGAGTTTTTAGAAATACATTTTGTCTAGCTTTTCTAGTTATTCACAGCAGCAGTGTTAGTTCTAAACAACCTAAGCCAGAGGAAGAACCAGATGTTATCTATTTTTTAAAAAAAGTCTTATTATTTAGGATGGCTGGAGTTTATGAGGCATTTGGGGATAGGGGTAGAAGCCACAGGAGGATGGGCCTTTAATGCCAGACCAAGGAGCTGGGACTTTATCTTAAAGAACATTGAATCAGAGGATGACTTTGTCAGATTTGTCTTTATAAAATCATTCCAAGGACAGTGAATAGATGGATTCAACCTGGATTGTGCTGGGAGTGATGAGCATGAAGGCAGGGCAGTGGCGTGCTGGTAAATGTTAACAACTGACTCTCTAGGAACAAAAGCTCTGATTTATAGCATTTGCTGATTTCTCCGGTGTAAATACCGTTGTTGATTTCAAGCTACCAACATGGCGTCACTGAATGAGGACTTGGGAAGAGATGCACAATTGGATCTTGCTGGTTCCAGCACACCATTGAGGCAGGGAGATTTGGCGCTCTTCAGGGTTTGTGGAGAATAAGCATCCTCACCTTTACCCACTCCCACCTTCTACCTCCTCTACCAAAATGACTCAGCCTACAGTCCCTGTTCCTCTACTGATACTCCCTAC